AGATCCTGGTGACGGATGTCAGGGATCAGCTGTTTGAAGGTTTTCCAGGAGACCATGGATAGGGACGACCCGGAGTCGACCTCCATGACACATGGTCGATTCTCAATGGCGAACTTCACTCGGATTTTCCTTGCATCCAGGGATGAAGCGTGGCCGATGGTGATGGTCTGATGTGCCTCTTCTCGTCTGGACGAAGTGGCAGGTGCTCGATTTCTGTAGTAGTTGTTCCATTGATTGCTTGGGCGGTCCCAATTTACTGGTGGGGTGCCTGTTGTCTGCCGGAAATTATTTTCTCTTCTGGTTGGGCTGGATCCTCGCTTGCTTCTGCAGACCCTTTCGATGTGGCCCCTCTTTCCACAGGAACGGCAGAGTGCATCTAGGAATTTGCAGTTTGATTGCGGGTGATTTCCCCCGCATCCAGCACATTGACATGGAGGCTTGCGATTTCGCTGGTCTCGCTGGTCGCGTTCTGACCTGAGTCTGTTGACCTCCTCTTCCTCGCTTTCTGGTGAGGATTCGAGGTCTTCATGGTGGGTGATCATTGTGTGCCTCTCGGAGAAAGGCGTAGTGTCACTGGCGAGTTGGCGGTGCAGTGAGTTCGCTCAGCGCATTCGAGCGGCTGACTTCCTGGTTGCTTCTGCTGCAGTAGCATCGGCGATGACATCTGCAAGGGCGATGTCTCCCTTCGCCATGATCTTGCTCTGGGTCGTGGGGTCTTTTAGGCCCAGAACAATTCGATCTCTTGAGATTTGCGAAGCCACAGAGTCCCCCCAGGTTCCTGAGGTCAGCGATGAAGTCTCCAACACTTTCGCTTTCCTGTTGGTCCCTCTGGTAAAACTCGTGTCTCCTGATGAGTGTTGGCACTGCCGGTGCATAATGGGCCCGGAGGATTGGGGCGAGGTTGTCCCAGTCCATTGTCTTGACTTCTGCTGGTTTCGCAAGTGCTTTCGCCATCTTAAAAACGGCGGGCCCGCAATGGGTCAGGAACACAGCTCGTTTCTTGCCAGGTGTAGCATCTTTCAGATTGTTGGTTTCCAGGAACATCTGGAACCTGTCCATATACGAGTCCCAGTCTTCGTTAGCCGGGTCAAATGGAGCGGGTGGTATAGCGCTGCTGGTCATTCTGCCACTTCTTGGTGTGCTCTCAGCCACATGCTCTGTTAGCGTTCGGTGAGTGTTTAGTCAGCTCTATCGTCTCCGCATCCCACTTTCGTCGCCAGTGTTAGGTCTGGAGCGTGGGCGCAAAGGACGGAGACGAGGCATCGAATAGTGACTCCAACTCTTTATTAGTGACTTCAGAACAGAGCGAAAGACTTGGGCAGCAGCAGCTCCTTTTATAGAGCTGGCTGCTGTCACAACAACCAATGATTTGAGTTTGCCGCGCTGGTAGCGTCCAATCAGCGGCGACCCGCTGGCAGCCAATCAGATCAGCCAGAAACGACCAATCACGATCCGCTGTTCACGGTCCAATCAGAAGTGCAGAATTACGAGCCTGCCGTGGAAGCAAAACTATTTAGTATTTTGAACTAACGTTTGCTTAGTTCGTAACACCCCCCAATTCCAAAATGGAGGATATTTGCTGTATAAACCCCCCCTTTCCCCCCCCCCCGGGATTTCTCCTGAAATAACAAAATTTAATTAAATTATCATTCGGATTATAGTGACCCTGTTACAAGAGCCCAGTAATATTCTCTGTGTGGTAATATTTTGCAAAAAGTGCCACCTACATGGATTTCAGATACCATCTTCAACTTCAGTTTTGCATCGTAAAGTAGTCTAATTATGTATTACACCAAGCTATTCAAAGTGCTTTGCATTACTCCAGCAATCTTCATAGAAAAGCGTATTATGATTAGATCAGAATTAATACCTGCATGTTACAACAAGAGAAAGGAATGTATGATTGAGAGATACCAACTGGGTTCAGACATCATATTAATGGCATTTCGTCTCCCTTTCTGTTCCTGATATTATTCTTCTCTCCCTGTCCATTTACCACACTATTGCAGATTGTTCCTAGCAGGATTCTTGCAATGAGTTTCTGATATCAGGTGACTATCTGTATAAATGAGAGCAAAAGCCATGGATCCCAAGGCTGAAGGTTGTCCTCTACTGACCTATATCTATTTTTTCTAGATAATATCAAGAAGCCATTTCAGGAATAAATGTTGGGAATTATTTTCCTTCAATATTAATCTACTCTATAGAGATTTATCCGTAGACTTGAATAAGAGGAGGCAGAGGTAAAAGGATTGCACAGCCTAGGGAAAGCAAAATGCCTAGGAAGGAGATTCAGAATATTGAGCCCTTGATCCCGTTGTCCTCAAAAAGTGAATATTCTGGATAGTCTTTCAAGGTTCCACAGACTCTGCAAACAAGAGACTCAGTGATGGCTGTTTCTCAACATTTGCAAGGAGAAGGAGATTTTGAGTTAAGTCTTGAGTCATAGCAACTGACTGGAAAAGTCGTCCAATTTTCTTAGCAAGATTTCAGGAGAGGTTTATTTATTGTCTTCTTCCTAGGGCTGAGAGAGAAGAATTAGCCCAAGGTCATCCAGCTGGCTTTGTGCCTAAGGTGGGACTAGAACTCAGAGTCCTGTTTTCTAGTCTGGTGCCTTAAACTACACCAATGACTGACCTACATCAAATAGGTAAAGCCATCTTCTTTCTTTGATATAGGATGCAGAAAAATCAACAGCATGGAGTAGAAGACATGCTTCCCCTCATTGAAAACTTCAAGAAATGGAAATATTTGAAATGTTAAGATATTGATGCAACTTCAGTTAAAATGGTGGATTTAAAAATGTTTTGGAGCACACACACTTACAATTGTTATGGCTTCTCTACACATTTCTCCCATCAAGAATTTCATGTACATGAGTAAAGTGAGAGATTCTGCAAATGTTCAGCAAAGCTGGGTTGTTGTTGGGGGGGGGGGGTGGGGGGAGGAGTATAAGTGGCATTATTTGGGCCCTATAATACTAGCTATAACCTTCAGAATACACCTTCAAGAAATATTATGGAATAACAATAGATTTGTGGTGCCAAGTAGATTTTGGAACAATTAAAATTCAGGAACATAAATTCAATGACAGATTTGTAGCTGTTCAGAGCACTATGGAATTAAATTCACTCTATTTCCCATCCAGGGAAAATGAAATGGGGAGAACCCCATTCCATCATCTGCAACCAGGTTCCAATTAAGAACTTAATTGTACTTCCATAATTTAATTGCACCAGTCAGCAGTGATTTAACCATGAATAGTAACAGCCTTCTTAATGCTATTATGGCAGTAATCAAACTCTATATGCTTGCATCTGTTTACAGACCTGCTATGATAGAAACAACTATTCATGATAAAAGAAACTGGAAGTAACAAGAATCACAGGTTCTTTTAAAAGATCACATTATTTGAAGGACTGTCTTTTTCAGTTACATCTACCTGACTACTAGAGAGGGAAGGCAGGGTAGGTTATGGATCATTTATCTTAAGGGGGTCCATCTAGTTGGACCAAGAAGAAAGGTCATCTCTATGGTGACTCCATCCCCATGGAAGTAAGAAATGTCCCCCACCTTGGTACACTTTTGAAAGGCCCTGAAGGTTTTGCCGATGAACCTAGGAACCTCAGGGTTCCTAGGAACCTCAGGGTGATACAGGATCCATCAAGTGGATTGTTTGATTGTTGCTGCCAGTGAGATGAGGGCTTATTGGGTTTCATACTTAGGGTTTTACTTCTGTTAGCAGTTGGGTGGCCATATAAATTATCTTAATAATTTATATCATGAAAGGGCCAAAGATGGTTACCTAACTGGATAGGTTGCTAGATAGCTCAAAAAGTGGTTCTCCTCCCACCCATCCCCCACTCCATAAAACATAACATGGGAGATTAACTATGCCCCTGAAGGGAAAAAAAAAGGGGGGGGGTCAAGCACATTTAAATAGACTGGTTCCTTCCAACCCTACTATTCTAATCTGTGTATCTCAGATCATTATCCTATTTAGCCAAGTGTTTTCATTCAATAAAATTTTGTTTAGTGTTCATTTCTAGAAAGCTGAAGGCGAAGAAATGCCTCTTATCCATTCAAAGGCTGAAAAAACAAGAGTGAGCTCACTCTTCAGAGGAGTTTCCTCCTTGTTCCTCTGTGTGAGTCACAGTTCAGTGGCTGTAGAAAGATCTGGATGAGTGGCTTACGGAGAGATGATTAGAAAGTCTTCACTGAAGTGGGATGATCTTACAAAATTCTGAAATGGGATCCATGGTAGAAATGTTCACCCCAGTAAAGACTGGAAACAATCAATGAGAACATTTCCCATTGTTTCAAACAACTTCTGTATCCTTGAAGTGATTAATCGTAAGACATTGAAGAGAAAAGAGAAAACCCACTTAAGAGTAAGGATTGCCAAAAAGAATGCAAAGAATAAAATGAGGAAAATTCTTTTCCATTGTTAATATGTATTGCAGGTATGATCTATGTCCCTCTATTCTTCATCCTTCAGCCCTCACACAAACACACCAATCCTACAATCTGGCTATGGAGATTTTCAGTCATCCAAGTCATGATTGTCCCAAAAGTGCTTCTTCAAGAGCCAACTGAACTTTCTTTTTCCTTGAAGACATTTCACTTCTCATCCAAACAGCTTCTTCAGAACTGAAGAACTTCTTGAAAAAGTTCTTTTGAGATAATCCTACAATCCTTTGTTGCATGTTTAGCAAAGCATGCTTGGGGAATTTTAGTTTGGAGGATTGCTGGGAAATTGCAAAACTACTCTCCTGAAACTGAGATGCTTCAGATATTTGGGGACTAGAATCTCCAGAGTGGCCATGCTAGCTGAGAAAGTTATGTTGTTGGTCTCAACATATCACCCATTATTTTGGAAAGCCGTAAAATATGGTGTGCAATACAATGAAGTAAGTAGTATTAATAGGCAGAAGTATATGGAATGACTAATTAGCAGGAGGCTCAAACGTCACACAGAAAAAGGAATATCAGACACTTACTTGTAATAACAGATATCATAGCCCACTCGAATCCAGTGAGGTCTCCCCTGTAGAGCTTCCTTCACTGAATACATGACTGGTTGCATACCTACACACAAAAATTGAGTTTGGGAGGGGAGGAGAAGAGATATGATTTCCACTGCAGTGGAATGGGAATAGCCATTTTACATATGGCATGTTTAGGAATGAAGACAGAAATAATATTTTTTAATATCACAAGGACTTTCTGTACCACCTTCAACTGCTGACAACCTGAAATGTTCTGCAAGTTCAAAGCAAAACCTTTTTGTGCCAATCCTAGACTGTATGACCTTGATTGGCTTGACCTCCTCTGATGTCATGAAAAATGTTTCCAGATGCCTCCAAATGGTTTTCCATTTGGTGGAAATGAAAAACAGTTGTGTAAGTACATTTTGATGGCTGATATGATGTTTGATTAATTCTGTGAATCAGTTGTTCAACCTGTACAACTGGAATTGGTCCAGTGCTATATATGAAACTACAAGTCCTCCAAGTTCTTTCATATTATTTCTGTTTTCAACTTTCTTTGAACCCAAGCCTTCATTTCTCTGCTTGATATATATCAGAGTGTACATTATTGGAGTCTGTGCTGTAACCCCAAATTGCTTTGATTTTATAAAACTGCTATCCCCAGTTCTTGCTTCTGTTCATCAAGAAAGCCTCATGAGAGGACAACTGCCTTGCACAAGACTTCCAATCATACAGAAGAACATTTGGCTGAGCTAAACCTCAAGTGCTTTTCACATTTCAGGTTTCAGAAGTCAGTTAGGTGTCCAGAGCACACATCTGCTTCTGTATCTCTCCCATCTTTCCAATTTTGTAATTTTGGACATGGAGCTTCCTACCTTTAGGATCTGATGGAAGAAAGGGTGATAATAATTCTCACAGAGAATTTTCACTGCTTTCCCCAAATTGCAAGATCCAGGAAACCATAATTAAAAAATGGATGAGTTTGAAAACAAGCTCAGTTTGTAATTTATGCAGGTTACATTATTAAAGAAAGTATTAAGAATTCCATTGCCATAAAATTGGTATTATGTGATTTCACAGTTCCATTGCATTATCTTTCAGGAGGTTCATTCCTAGCAGTTAAAACCAAGTTTCCAAATGACAAAACCTTCAACCTCCCTTTCTATGCCTCCCCTGTTGCTGATATTGGAGACATGTGAGGATTTGAGTCTTCTGACTTCTTTTGCCTTCAAGTCATAGTTAACTTCTATTTTATCCATGGTCATGTCCCTCAAGTTTTCTTTGCAATATTTTCAGAAACAGTTGACCCTTGCCTTCTTCTTTCTAGGACTGAGAGTGAGAGTGATTGGCCCAAGATCACCCAGCTGGCTTCATGCCCAATGCAGAACTAGAACTCATGGTCTCCCAGTTTCTAGCTTAGACCCTTTAACCATTACACTAAACTGATTATTTTTTCCTTCTCTTACATTTCTTATATTGGATAACAGCATAATAATTAATAATAAGTAAATACCTTCTGAGCCACCCATTGGTGTCTTCCATCCTTATTCACAATTACTGATTTACTCCAACTTTACATTCTCCCCACTTTAGCTAACTTCCATTTTCCTGCCCTCATTTGTCTTATGGCCAGAGAAAGAAAACATATAGTTTTCAATTTATTCTATCAAAGAAGGGGATTTTTGTTGCTGAATTTTAATTTATCACTTAGTTTTATCACTTTATCACTTTAATTTACCTGCCCAAGGAAGGAAATGGTTGGAATTCCATGTAACTAGACACCAGTATGGAAACTATCTCAGTACACAATAAGAAAGGTGAAATAAAAGACCTCTGGAGGATCCATGTTTTAAGGGCTCTTTCACTTGACTTTCCCAGGAGAGGGTAACCACAGACAAATGCTCAACTCCTTCCTCAATATGACAACTCTTACCATAATTAAACTGGCTGTTTGGCTTGTCACAGTTGATGATGTTGAAGCGATAAGGAATGGCAGACTTCATGGCACTGACCTCAAAGTAGAACCATTGATGGTATTGGGCACAGTTGATATCAGGGTTGAGGATCAAATCATATTCATACCTGGGTTCACAAAGCACAACAACAGAGTCTGAAACATCCACAAGATACAAAAAGATACACTACTTGGCAGAATCCATGGAATATTAACCCACATATTAAAGTCATGGTACATAGCTAGGCAAGGAGAACAGGAGAAACAAAGAGACCTGGTCATCTGGCATGCACTGGGAACTAGTTGTACCATAGGACTGTGAAATCTGCTTATATAAGCTGATTATTTAGCATTAGACCTAAGATATATGGTGGCTTGGCTCAATGGTTGGAACATAAGAGTAGGTCAACACCTGTACCTGCCAAACATCTGTCTGTCTCCTGAAACAGTACTTTGAGAATGAGAATGATCAATTTGGTAATCTAGTAATTTCTTCCTTGGGCCATTTCTGTCTTCTGAAAATATCTTTTCTTCATAACCATAACTGTGAAGATATTCCCCTATTAAATATGATGGAATTCCAAAAAGTTAAACATTATGGCCCATATTTTCCCTGCTAGATAATACTGTCAAGCATATGTTTGCCTTCTATTATGGTCTTCCCCAAATGGCCTGGAACACCTCAGATACTCTGCTGGGATTATTTGCAATACTTACTCCCGCACTTGAATGGCTTTGCGGAGGTTCCCAGATTCAAATTTGGAAAAGAATTTTAAGCCATTTTGTTGATCTGAATGCAAAGAACTGAAACAAAAGGCAACACAATTAGTGCAAAGCTGACTGAGAAATAACTAGACCTATTAACCACTAAAGAAATTAGCAGAAAGCACTGAGACTCACAGAAATAGAGGTAGTTCATAATGATTAGGTTCCCCATAGGTTTCTAATAGTAATTACATCCGTCCTTTTTTGCTGGGAGAACAAGGTGGCTTATATAGAGATCACAGTGCATTTAACTCTAAAACCACAATCCTTTGAGAAAGTTTGAGCTGATAGAAAATTACTCCCCAAACTAATAGCAAGATTTTCATACCAATCAGTACTACTTGGACCTGGGTTCCTCCAGTTCAAGGCCAACTATAGTGTCGCTAAACTACCTTGGCTTTATCTTCATCCTGTCTCCAGAAGAGGACCCTCCAGGGAAGATTTTATGAATGTTCAGAGGGGGAGGAAGGACATTAAGAGTCTATGACTCACGGGGACTTCCAGTTTGAGCGTCTTCGGCGACAGACCGAAATCTGCGATCGTGCAGTTTTGATCTGTGCTCACCACTGGAGTGCCCCGAGCCAGCTGGTTTCAGGGCTAAACTCAAAGAAGAGGTGGCCACCTCAAAGAAGAACTCGACCGGAAAAGAATGTGTAGGAGGAAGATAAGAAGAGAAAGTTTTGGCTGACCGGGTTGAACTGGAAAAACAACAATACAAGGTACCCTGGAATTTGAATTATAAAGAACAATATTGTTCCCAAAGAAGACTTTGAAGCGGCGAATGAGAGAGGAAAGGGAAATGATTTGGGTTTTTTTTTCTTTTCTTCCATATATTGACAACTAAGAGATTTAAGCAAGAAACCAGCAAAAATCCACTTTGACATTAACAGATATTTAACCTGAAAATAAAATGTCAAAGGGATAATAAAGATCTCTGGATTCTCAAAAACTTTTAAAAGAAGGAAAAAACAAAAGGGTGGGATCTGGAAAAATGGAGGAGACCACCTGGAAGTGAAAAGAATTAACAGTGAAACTTTAACAAGATTCCTAAAAGATATATTTTAACTGAAATTTTGTAACAAGATAAGAGAACCCCAGGAAGAGAAAATGGAAAAAAAGAAACAATAAGAAACCGTTTTGGATTATTTGGATTACTTGGTGATTTTTAGATTTTTGGCGACTGGATTTAAAGGACTAAAATTAATCGGGTGGTTGTTTAAAAGTTTTTAAAATGGTATCACTCTTGGAAGAACTGAGAATGGAACTTAAAAAACAGAAAAAAGATGCACAAGAAGGAAGAGGTTCTTTTGGCTTCATGTTTCAATTTTTAGAAATGGAGATCCTGAACTATGAGAAACAACAAGACATGCCTATAGAACAAGAAGGGCGGGACAAAGAAGAAGCCATCTTCAATGACCAAGTATTTCTACGTGAAAAGAAAGGAAAGGGGGGAAAGAGAGTGAAAAGTTTAAGATCTGAAAAAACAACTCAAAAAAAAGAATAGCTTGAAAAGTAATTACAACATTAGGAAGAAACAGAAGAGAGGATTACAGAAGAGAGAATCAGAATTAGAGAGAGAAGGGGTTAAAAGAAAAGGGAGAAGAAGAGGGAGAAGACGGAAAGGAAAAGAAATTATAAAGGACAGAAACAGGACATAGAGAAACAGGGAAAATGTACAAGACACAGAGATAATGGGTGAAAACTTAATTGAAAGGGGGATTCTGCAAGGGTATATAAGATAGTATTGTTATATTAGAAATAGAAATGAACTTTGAAAATATGAAACAAGTGTGATTAAAATGATAAAATACTCACTGTAATGTAATGGAATGTTTAATAAATAAATGAAATAAAGAGAATGAGAGAAAGAAATTAGGAAAGGAGGGGAACTTCTTAATTATTATAAATGTGTTATAAAAATTTAAGTGAAGAGGAACATGAAAGAAACATGAAAAAATTATGGAAATATTATGTGTTCCCAGAAATATGATATCCTATTGAAAAGAAATGTTAAAGGTGTCAAAGATTATAACTAACGTTAATGATAGAGCTGAATTGGAATAGAATAAGTATTTTACTTATTGTTCTATATATTTTTTCTGTTTAAGAACTTAGTGCGTATTTTAAGAATGTACCAAGCAGAATTCGACTGGAAGTTATGTGTTATATTGAATGTTATAATTGTAAAGGCATAAATTGAAGTTTAAATAAGAGTTGAATGGATAAAAATTAAAAGATACAAAGGTGTCATACTCCAATTAGTAACTACAGGGAAAAAATTTGTTTAATGAGAAAAGAAAATATGAAATTGAAACAGGTCAGACAAAAGTATAAATATGATGACTAGAAAGGTATTGAAATTTAGAAAAAGATATATATTATTGAATTTAGAAAGTAATGAGATAATTAAAAGTAAGATTGAGAAAACTAAGGGAAGGGAAAAATTATTGAGAAAATGTTAAAATAGTAATAAGATATGGAATAGAACACAAAGATGAATATGAAATTGAATTTGTGTCTGTATGGAGAAGCGATAACCCAGGACCATGCTATTCTCAAAAAAAAAAGAAATTTTACTTGTATTAGGTTTTGTGAAAACCCAAATAAAATTTTTATTTAAAAAAAAAGAGTCCATGACTCATTAACAATGGTCTCAACTAACAAAAATTCACTTACTCAGAGCCGTCTAAACTGAAGACAACTCGCTTGGTTATATCAGCTGGCTGGACCACACGGCGTATATCATCAAATATTTTGACCCTGTAGTAAGAGAACAAAAGAGATGATATTGTGGTGAAGAACATGCCCAGAAGGAAACTTCTTTGGGGGATTCCTTTTTTAAAGAATATCTCTTTCTTTCACTCTGGTCTTGTAGAATAGCGGTCTCCAAACTTGGCAACGTGAAAATTAATGGACTTCAACTCCCAGAATTCCCCAGCCAGCAAGAGGAATTCTGGGAGTGGAAGTCTACAAGTCTTAAAGACTTTTGAAGTTTGAACACCTCTGCTATAAAACATGGAGATCCACATTGTAGCATTAAGTGGTACTAACTTGACAATCCTGTCCTATGCTGGAAAACTTCAATACATTTCCCAACTTAGATTTGCTTCACTTGTCACACAGCCTGCTGAACTACTCCTTATTGTAGGGAAATGTGTTCCCCAAAGGCATTACAGTGATTTCTGCTTTTGTCATGGTTCCAACTACACTTCCTTTTGCAAACGCGGCCTCAATATATAATTAGTGAGAGTAGTGCTCAATTTTCCCCCCACTGACCACTTGCCATCTTCCTATCCTCTATATGTACAGAATAACCCTTGAGTAACAAGGATATGCACATGGAAACGTTTCGCTATATGACCTTTAGCCCCTAACCCTAACCCTAATCTCAAAATGGTGGCTTGAACAATTCATCCACAAAGCAAAACTTTTGACACAGAGCACGGATTTTGAAAAGAACTTCATTTTCATGTTCCCCATGGTGGAAAACATTGAAAACCAGCTTCCTTTGCAGATCCGAGTTTTCCCTAAGGAGTTATCCCAAGGCAAATCTCAAAATGGTGGGTTGAACACAAAGCATACCTTTTGACACACAGCTGGGATTTTGAAAAGAACTTTATTTTCATGTTCCCCAGGATGGAAAATATAAAAAACCCACTACCATTTCGGATCAGAGTTTCCCCTGAGGAGTTATCCCATGGAAATCTCGAAATTGTGGCTTGAACTCAATTGATCCACAAAGACAACTTGGGATACAGAGCTCAGATTTTGAAAAGAACCTCATTTTCATGTTCTGCTGGGTGGAAAAGGTTGAAAACGCACATCATTCTTGGATCCAAGCTTACCCTGAGGAGATATCCCTAACCCTGAACGTAACTCTAACTATAACCCTAACCGCAAAATGGTGGGTTGAACTCAATTCACGTTTAGACGCAGAGTTCAGATTTTGAAAAGAACTTTATTTTCATGTACCCCAGGGTGGAAAATATAAAAAACCCGCTAATACTTCAGATCAGAGTTTCCCCTGAAGATTATCCCATGGCAAATATTAAAATTGTGGCTTGAACTAAATTCATCCACAGAGCAAAACTTTTGATACAGAGTTCAGATTTAGAAAATAAGTTCACTTTCACATTTCTCTGAATGGAAAACTTCAAAAACCTGCTTCATTTTTGGATCCAACCTTTCCCTGAGGACATATCCCTAACCCTAACCCAAACTCTAAGCCGAACCCGAATCCGAACCCGAACCCTAATATCAAAATGGTGGCTTGAATTCAATTCATCCACAAAGCACAACTATTGATACAGAGCTCAGATTTCCAAAAGAAGTTCACTTTCATGTTAACCAGGGTAGAAAACATTGAAAGCCCAGTTCATTTTTGGATACAAGCTTTCCGTGAGGAGATATCCTAACTCAGTGTAAAAATGGTGGGATGAACTCAATTCATCCAAAAAGCACAACTTTAGATACAGAGCTAGGATTTCGAAAAGAAGTTCATTTTCAGGTTCCGCAGTGGAAAACATTGAAAACCCGCTTAATGTTCGGATCCGAGCTTTTCCTGAGAAGATATCTGAAGGCAAATCTCTGAATGGTGGCTTGAACTCTATGCACAAAGCACAAGTTTTGATGCAGAGCTCGGATTTCAAAAAGAAGTTCACTTTCACGTTCCCCAGAATGGAAAACATTGAAAATTCGCTTGATTTTTGGATCCAAGGTTTCCCTGAGGAGTTGTCCCAAGGCAATCTCAAAATGTTGCGATGAACTCAGTTCATTCACAAAGCACAACTTTTGATACAGAGCTAGAATTTCGAAAATAAGGTCACTTTCATGTTCCCCAGATTGGAAAACATTGAAAACCCGCTTGATTTTGGTATGCAAGTTTTCCCTGACGAATTATCCCAAGGCAATCTCACAATGTTGGGATGAAAATTCATTCACAAAGCACAAATTTTCATGTGGCTCAGATTTCAAAAAGAAGTTCATTTTCAGGCTCCCCAGAGTGGAAAACATTGAAAACCCGCTTGATTTTGCGATGCGAAGTTTCCCTGAGGAGTTATCCCAAGGCAATCTCAAAATGGTGGCTTGTATTCAATTCATCCACAAAGCACAACTTTCGATACAGAGATCGGATTTAGAAAAGCTCAATTTCATGTTCCCCAGACTGGAAAACATTGAAAACTGGCTTGATTTTGGGATGCGAGGTTTCCCTGAGAATATATCCCAAGGAAATCTCAAAATGGTGGCTTGAACTAAATTCATCCACAAAGCACAACTTTCGATATAGAGCTAGGATTTTGAAAAGAAGTTCACATTCACGTGCCTCCAAATGGAAAACATTGAAAACTCGCTTGATTTTCAGATACAAAGTTTCCCAGAGGAGATGTCCTAACGCAATATTAAAATGATGGCTTGAACAAAATTCATCCACAATGCACAACGTTCAATACAGAGCTAGGATTTCGAAAGGAAGGTCCTTTCATGTTCCCCAGAGTGGAAAACATTGAAAACCCGCTTGATTTTGGGATGCAACGTATCCCTGAGGAATTATCCAAAGGCAATCTCACAATGTTGGGATGAACTCAATTCATCCACAAAGCACAACTTTAGATGCAGAGCTAGCATTTCGAAAAGAAGGTCACTTTCTTGTTCCCCAGACTGGAAAAAATTGACAACCCGCTTGATTTTGGGATGCGAGGTTTCCCTGAGAAGGTATCCCAAGGAAATCTCAAAATGGTGGCTTGAACTAAATTCATCCACAAAGCACAACTTTTGATACAGAGCTCGGATTTTGAAAAGAAGTTCATTTTCAGGTTCCGCAGTGGAAAACATTGAAAATCCGCTTAATTTTTGGATGCGAGCTTTTCCTGAGAAGATATCTGAAGGCAAATCCCAAAATGGTGGCTTGAACTCAATTCATCCACAAAGCACAACTTTTGATAGAGAGCTCAGAATTCAAAAAGAACTTCACTTTCATGTTATGCAGAATTGAAAAGATTGAAAACTCGCTTGATTTTTGGATAAAGTTTTTCCTAAGGAGATATCCTAATGCAATCTAAAAATGGTGGGATGAACTCAATTAATCCACAAAGCACAACATTTGATACACAGCTAGGATTTCGAAAAGAAGTTCACTTTCATGTTTGCCCAGAGTGGAAAACATTGAAAATCCACTTAATTTTCGGATCCGAGTTTTTCTGGGAAGATATCTGAAGGCAAATCTCAAAATGGTGGCTTGAACTCTATGCACAAAGCACAACTTTTGATGCAGAGCTCAGATTTCAAAAAGAAGTTGACTTTCACGTTTCCCAGAAAGGAAAAAAATGAAAATTCACTTGATTTTTGGATCCAAGGTTTCCCTGAGGAGTTATCCCAAGGCAATCTCAAAATGATGGCTTCAGTTCAATTCATCCACAAAGCACAACTTTGGATACAGAGCTCAGAATTCGAAAAGAAGTTTACATTCACGTTCCTCCGAACGGAAAACATTAAAAACTTGCTAGATTTTCAGATCCAAGGTTTCCCAGAGGAGATGTCCTAACACAATATTAAAATGATGGCTTGGACAAAATTCATCCACAATGCAGAGCTAGGATTTCAAAATCAATTTTCATTTATCCCAGAGTGGAAAATATTGAAATTCCGCTCAGTTTTCGGAACGGAGCTTTTCCTGAGAAAATACACCAAGGCAGTATCAAAATGGTGGCTTGTACTCAATTCATTCACAAAGCACAATTTTGGATCAGATTTAGAAAAGTTCAATTTCATGTTCCCCAGACTGGAAAACATTGACAACCCGCTTGATTTTGGGATGCGAGGTTTCCCTAAGAAGATATCCCAAGGAAATCTCAAAATGGTGGCTTCAACTCAATTTACCCACAAAGTACAACTTTTGATATAGAGGTCACAATTTGAAAAGAAGTTCACTTTCACATTCCTTCAAATGGAAAACATTGAAAGCTCGCTTGATTTTCAGATCCAAGGTTTCCCAGAGGAGGTGTCCTATATTAAAATGATCGCTTGAACAAAATTCATTCACAAAGCACAAATTTTGATATAGCTCGGATTTCAAAAAAAGTTCATTTTCAGGCTCCGCAGAGTGGAAAACATTGAAAACCCGCTTGATTTTGGGATGCGAAGTTTTCCTGAGGAGTTATCCCAAGGCAATCTCAAAATGGTGACTTGAACTGAATTCATCCACAAAGCACAACTTTTGATACAGAGCTAGCATTTCAAAAAGAAGTTCATTTTCATTTTTCCCAGAGTGGAAAACATTGAAAATCTCCTTAATTTTCGAATCTGAGCTTTTCCTGAGAAGATACCTGAAGGCAAATCCCAAAATGGTGCCATGAACAACATTCACAAAGCATAACTTTTGATGCAGAGCTAGGGTTTCGAAAAGAAGGTCACTTTCATGTTCCCCACAGTGGAAAACATGGAAAAATTGCTTGATTTTCGGATCCCAGTTTTCCATGAGAAGATATCCCAAGGCAATCTCAAAATGATGGCTTGAACTCAATTCATCCACAAAGCACAACTTTTGATGCAGAGCTCAGAATTCGAAAAGAAGTTTACATTCACGTTCCTCCAAACGGAAAACATTAAAAACTCGCTAGATTTTCAGATCCAAGGTTTCCCGGAGGAGATGTCCTAACGCAATATTAAAATGATGGCTTGAACAAAATTGATCCACAATGCAGAGCTAGGATTTCGAAATCAATTTAATTTTCATTTATCCCAGAGTGGAAAATATTGAAATTCTGCTTAGTTTTCGGAACTGAGCTTTTCATGAAAAAATATACCAAGACAGTATCAAAATGGTGGCTTATACTCAATTCATCCACAAAGCACAACTTTGGATCAGATTTAGAAAAGTTCAATTTCATGTTCCCCAGACTGGAAAACATTGACAACCCGCTTGATCTTGGGATGCGAGCTTTCCCTGAGAAGATATCCCAAGGAAATCTCAAAATGGTGGCTTCAACTCAATTTACCCACAAAGTACAACTTTTGATATAGAGGTCACAATTTGAAAAGAAGTTCATTTTCACGTTCCTTCAAATGGAAAACATTGAAAACTCCCTTGATTTTCAGATCCAAGGTTTCCCTGAGGAGGTGTCCTAACACTCTATTAAAATGATCGCTTGAACAAAATTCATTCACAAAGCACACATTTTGATATAGCTCAGATTTAAAAAAGAAGTTCATTTTCAGGCTCTGCAGAGTGGAAAACATTGAAAACCCGCTTGGTTTTGGGATGCAAGGTTTCCCTGAGGAGTTATCCCAAGAAAATCTCAAAATGGTGACTTGAACTGAATTCATCCACAAAGCAGAACTTTTGATACAGAGCTAGCATTTCAAAAAGAAGTTCATTTTCATTTTTCCCACAATGGAAACCATTGAAAATCCACTTAATTTTTGGATCCGAGCTTTTCCTGAGAAGATATCTGAAGGCAAATCCCAAAATGGTGGCTTGAACTCAATTCATCCACAAAGCACAACTTTTGCTAGAGAGCTCAGAATTCAAAAAGAACTTCACTTTCATGTTATGCAGAATTGAAAAGATTGAAAACTCGCTTGATTTTTGGATAAAGGTTTTCCTAAGGAGATATCCTAATGCAATCTAAAAATGGTGGGATGAACTCAATTAATCCACAAAGCACAACTTTTGATACACAGCTAGGATTTCGAAAAGAAGTTCACTTTCATATTTGCCCAGAGTGGAAAACATTGAAAATCCGCTTAATTTTTGGATCCGAGCTTGTCTGGGAAGATATCTGAAGGCAAATCCCAAAATGGTGCCATGAACTCCATCCACAAAGCATAACTTTTGATGCAGAGCTAGGATTTCGAAGGAAATCTCAAAATGGTGGCTTGAACTCAATTCACCCACAAAGCACAACTTTTGATACAGAGCTAGCATTTCGAAAAGAAGTTCATTTTCATTTTTCCCAGAGTGGAAAACATTGAAAATCCACTTAATTTTCAGATCCGAGCTTTTCTGAGAAGATATCTGGAGGCAAATCCCAAAATGGTGGCTTGAACTCAATTCATCCACAAAGCAGAACTTTTGATAGCTCAGAATTCAAAAAGAACTTCACTTTCATGTTACGCAGAATTGAAAAGATTGAAAACTCGCTTGATTTTTGGATAAAGTTTTTCCTAAGGAGATATCCTAATGCAATCTAAACATGGTGGGATAACTCAATTAATCCACAAAGCACAACTTTTGATACACAGCTAGGATTCCGAAAAGAAGTAAACTTTCATGTTTGCCCAGAGTGGAAAACATTGAAAATCTGCTTAATTTTCGGATCCGAGCTTTTCCTGAGAAGATATCTGAAGGCAAATCCCAAAATGGTGCCATGAACAACATTCACAAAGCATAACTTTTGATGCAGAGCTAGGATTTTGAAAAGAAAGTCACTTTCAGGTTCCCCACAGTGGAAAACATGGAAAAACTGCTTGATTTTCGGATCCCAGTTTTCCATGAGGAGATATCCCAAGGCAATCTCAAAATGATGGCTTGAACTCAATTCATCCACAAAGCACAACTTTGTATACAGAGCTCAGAATTCGAAAAGAAGTTTACATTCACGTTCCTCTGAATGGAAAGCATTGAAAACTCGCTAGATTTTCAGATCCAAGGTTTCCCAGAGGAGATGTCCTAACGCAATATTAAAATGATGGCTTGAACAAAATTCATCCACAATGCAGAGCTAGGATTTCGAAATCAAGTTCATTTTCATTTATCCCAGAGTGGAAAATATTGAAATTCCGCTTAGTTTTCGGAACTGAGTTTTTCCTGAGAAAATATACCAAGGCAGTATCAAAATGGTGGGTTGTACTCAATTCATCCACAAAGCACAACCTTGGATCAGATTTAGAAAAGTTCAATTTAATGTTCCCCAGACTGGAAAACATTGACAACCCGCTTGGTTTTGGGATGCGAGGTTTCCCTGAGAAGACATCCCAAGGAAATCTTAAAATGGTGGCTTGAACTAAATTCATCCACAAAGTACAACTTTTGATGCAGAGCTAGGATTTCGAAAAGAAGGTCACTTTCAGGTTCCCCATAGTGGAAAACATTGAAAACCCGCTTGATTTTGGGATGCAACGTATCCCTGAGGAATTATCCCAAGGCAATCTCACAATGTTGGGATGAACTCAATTCATCCACAAAGCACAACTTTGGATACAGAGCTCAGAATTCGAAAAGTAGTTCAGATTCACATTTCTCCTAATGGAAAACATTGAAAACCCGCTTGATTTTGGGATGCATGGCTTCCCTGAGGAATTATCCCAAGGCAATCTCACAATGTTGGGACGAACTCATTTCATTCACAAAGCACAACTTAGGATTCAGAGATAGGATTTAGAAAAGTTCAATTTCATGTTCCCCAGAATGGAAAACATTGACAACCCGCTTGATTTTGGGATGCGAGCTTTCCCTGAGAAGGTATCCCAAGGAAATCTCAAAATGGTGGCTTGAACTAAATTCATCCACAAAGCACAACTTTCGATACAGAGCTCAGAATTCGAAAAGAAGTTCACTTTCACGTTCCTTCGAATGGAAAACATTGAAAACTCACTTGATTTTCAGATCCAAGGTTTCCTGGAGGAGGTGTCCTAACGCTATATTAAAATGATGGCTTGAACAAAATTCATCCACAAAGCACAATTTTCGATACAGAGCTAGCATTTCGAAAAGAAGGTCACTTTCATGTTCCCCAGAGTGGAAAACAATGAAAATCCGCTTAATTTTCGGATCCGAGCTTTTCCTGAGAAGATATCTAAAGGCAAATCCCAAAATGGTGCCATGAACTCCATCCACAAAGCACAACTTTTGATAGAGAGCTCAGAATTCGAAAATAAGTTCACTTTCATGTTACGCAGAATTGAAAAGATTGAAAACTTGCTTGATTTTTGGATAAAGTTTTTCCTAAGGAGATATCCTAATGCAATCTAAAATTGGTGGGATGAACTCAATTAATCCACAAAGCACAACTTTTGATACACAGCTAAGATTTCAAAACGAACTTCACTTTCATGTTCCCCAGAGTGGAAAATATTGAAACCTCGCTTGATTTTCAAATCCAAGCTTTCCCTGAGAAGATATCTCAAGGAAATCTCAAAATGGTGGCTTCAACTCAATTCTTCCACAAAGCACAACTTTTGATACAGAGCTTAGATTTCAAAAAGAAGTTCACTTTCACGTTGTCCAGAATGGAAAACATTGAAAACTCGCTTGATTTTCGGATCCAAGGTTTCCCTGAGGAGATGTCCTAACATAATTTTAAAATGGTGGCTTCAACTCAATTCATCCACAAAGCACAACTTTTGATACAGAGCTAGGATTTCAAAAAGAAATTTATTTTCAGGTTGCCCTGGGTGGAAAACATCAAAAACCAGCTTCATTTTCATATCCGAGTTTTCCCTGAGGAGTTATCCCAAGGGAAATCTCAAAATGGTGTATCGAACTCAATTCATCCATATGGCAGAAGTTTTGATACAAGAGCTCGGATTTCAAAAAAAAGTTCATTTTCATGTTCCACAGGGTGTAAAACACTAAAAACCAGCTTCATTTACAGTAAACAAAAATATCAAAATATCAGAATGTCAGAGAGACAGAATGTCAGAGAGAGCAAGCTATGATCTCTAGCTCCCTCTTATGGTAATTTGCAATATGATCAACCAATTGGAATATAATATTAATCAATACAGTGATTTTGTCTTAAAGCTACCAACATACATTGTTGGTGTATATATTGCCAACCTAACTAATTGGTGGACAGATTCGTAACACAGGGTTAGAAGTAAAGGGAGAGATACTTACTTTTGGATACCACATTTCCTTTGCTGCAAAGGCTGGCTGTGAGGAGGAGGTTGATGACCCCAGAGATCTGGGAATGCCAATACTCTGTACTCTGGAATGGAGCGGGTGCAGTTAGCCCTTGCCATAAATAACTTAGGTTTGTGGAAAGAGATGTTCCCAGGATGCCTCTCCAAAAGCTTTGTAACCACTTCAGAAGCTTCTGTTCCCTCCTGGCAGCCAGGTCCACAGGAATTCACATGTTGGAACTGGGATGTCTGCCAGTTCCCTAATCCCTCTTGGGTTTCATGACCCTCACTGGAGATCATGCCTTTTCTGAAAGAAGTTTCTGATTCACCCAAAGTTCTTTTTTCAGGTTCATGGAGTTTCTGTTTTCTTTCCTCTCTGTATACTGGCCTCTCTAAAGTCCTCTGGATCTGCTTTTTTTCTTCTATACTTTGGTCCCCTTCTCTACATTTGTGCTGGCACTTCAGGGAAGCAGCACATGGAATGACATGGAGGCAGGAACTGGTCAGGATCCCAGGGATGTCCACAGAATTCAGTTCATCATTAGGCTCCAATTCATTTACCTTGAAATAGGGGAAAGACAACCAACCATTATGGATCCTTGCATACAGCAGCTTTCTGGATGGACTGGGAAGCCAAAAGCCAAGAAGGATCTCACCTGAAAGTTATACTGAAGTTCAGGACACATGACCATATACTGATTCAGTTCCAATTCAGGTCGGTCAAGCTCTGGCCTTGATAGAAGCTTGTTAATATCCTTCTCTAGATCATCATCCTTTCAAAATAAGAATTTTTTCATAAATAGCAAGATGATGACTAATTATTTCAATTCATACAGTATCCTACTTTTGTTCTACCATGGATTTTGCAGTAATGTATGGTTAGGCCCTGGTTTTCTTCCATCCAGACAAGAGCCAGAGTTAAAAGCAACTAATCGTAAACATAACGGTTATTATAATGCTCCTTCAGACTTTGGCCTGGTCTGAATCTTGCTTTGCAAGGCAAGGCTTGCAATTATGGCTAATTGGGACTGGATCTCATAGAATATCTGGCAGACATTCAGAAAGGACAATAAATTCCTGCTAATATCTCCTCTGATCATCTATTAAAAGTGTAATGAATAAAGGCTTGGCTACCAAACACATGGCAGCTTGCTACAAAACAAGTTTACTTACTTCCTCCTTATTTTCAGCGTTTTCATTATCACAGTCTTTCTCAATCTCTTCCTCAGTGTCTTCATCAAGATAATCTGCAAGAAAAGACAACTAAGCCAAAAGTCAATAATCAAAGAAGTGAGCTCTTTCCCACATGGGTGACTTAGTCACTGAGAGCATCCACAACACAAAAATAAGTCTCATCAAAGGAGAAACAGTATAGCTATGCCTCTGTAACAGAGGAAAAAAACAATATGCAAAACAGGGCATTTTAACCAAAATCACAAGCAGACACTTGAGGGCTATTTGCACGCATCTTAAACAGAATTTGCTGTTTGCTCCACTATTCAGTTCAGATCACCAAATACACCTCATTTATTGGCCTAATTTGGCATATTCTACTTTCGGAAGATATTTTGCTTCATGTGGAGATTTATCCTTCTGCATACATCTACATTACCCTAAGTGTGTGGCTGTCTCTTTGCAGTGTCAGGGTTCTGATGGATGCCCTAATTAATTCATGAGCCAAGACAAGTTTCAAAAGAAATCAAATTATTTATTAGGAGCAACATGTCAGCACTTTCCCAAGTGCAGTCAGCTCCACCCCACGTAATTTACTACCCACCCTGTTTCCTCCCTCCTCCCAGGGTGTGTCATAAATCACATTCTCCAACAGAGCACTTTTGTAGGCTGTACAAAACACACCTCTCTAGTTGGCTCTAGTAATCTGGGATACAATCTGGAGAAAGATATGCATGGAATGTGCTTCTGGTCTTAGCCAAAGCTGCTTCATCAGTTCTCCTGCCCTCTTGCCTATGGCAACTTGAGAGCAGTCCAGGAATGCTTTATGAGTTGACATTTGGTGCATGTGTGGATATTTTGCACTAGAAAGCAGATCAACTGTCATAACCTAAATATTGGAGACAGAGGGAATCCCATTTTTTTTCTACTTGGGACTTTGAAACCACTTACCTTCAGGTCTGGAAAGTGAAGATTCTGTTTTCCCAGGAATGGGAAAAGAATAGGAACTGCTAATTTCAGCTGAAGGAAAGGGCATCTTCGGATAGGTTTTCCTGAGGATCTGAGTCACTGTATTGACGATAGGGTCCAGATTCTTGCTGAACAGACTGCCCTAAACAAGAGCAAAAAATGAACATCCAGATTATCATTTTTTCCCTGGCTCAATCATAGCTCCACTGACCAAGAATCCAGTTTGATGCAAGGTACCTATTCTGTTAAATTGATTATAGTAAATGTGATTATTTCCCATGTGTTTAATAACTACTCTTTTTCTATCAAATTAGCAGTTACAACTTGATGGCCAATGTTAGAGCGGATTTGAAAGCCATATGTGCAGTTTTCAGTAACATAAGCAACAAAAATGTTCTACTGGTTTATTTGTTGATAAATAGATGTTTAGGGCTGTGTATTCACTTTGCAGAGTGCCTTTATTCTAGAGGGGATTGACAGTTTTTTGTTCAAAACAAATGGGATGAAAAACCAATCATGTTCTTATGTAGATGGTCATCACACACCTTAGCAAGAAAGATATATGATGGCTGGGGTGTTCTCTTTTCTTCTCTCTGGAGACCACAATGTGTGAGAGCAGCAAAACTTCCAACATTACAAAATGCTACACTTTTAAAATGGCAAAAAAAATGTTCTGATGTTAGAGGTCATTTGGCTCTTGGGATAAGTCTTTTAATTTGTTGGAAGTGCTGAGAAGGTGCTTATCTTAAAACCGTAACTATCATTTCAGGGTCTTCTTCATGCAGATTTTCAGTTTCCAGTTTTAGAGTTTGGAATTAATTCAGCTTGTTTGTGAAATGGAACCAATATAATAAAGATGCAATTTGCTAATGTGACCAACTAAAGTTGGGCCTATTGCTTTATCCCTCAATCCAAAGTAGCCCAAGATGCAAAATCCATAACAGGATTCAATATTTTAAGATTAACAAAAAGCTCTGGGGTCAGATACATATTTGCAAACCCTCTATTTCTAAAGGGAGACGGAGAAAATTTTGTTTGCTTTGCATTTTTGAGCAAACAAATCTCACTCGTATCTGTCAGACAATTATGCATTTCAGAACTGTTACACTTCTCACTTCTCTGAATTTGGTGATGCAGTGTATCTATCTATTAAGGAAAGCTGCCTCAGAGAATAGAGAGGTTTAAGGACATTGCATATAAAAGGGACATTTGATTAAAAAAAAATCCAATACTGAAATAAATATGAAATTCACACTTCAAAAAAATGCTTACAGATGCAGAACTGAGATAGAAAAGATTTAATGAATTATTTATTCATAATTCTAAGAAGAAATGTTAGATGATTTGGGGAATATTATTCTAACTTGTACGTTAAAACTGGATTAGTTAATAAAGAAAATATGACTCAGCCTGCAAGACATTACTGACGACAAACGAATTTGTCTATTCAAGTTATACTTTATGTTAATTTACATCCACAGTTTCCAAAAGACAAGGGATGTTGGGAATAAATTAGAGTGTTAATACTTTATGGAGGATGGAATCTCTCTTTCAAGGACTTTTGATCTTTCGGCTTGAGGGTGATCTCTAAAGACTACCTAATCCAAGTCTACAATAAAGGTAAAAAAACTGTAAGCACAAGAGATCATACATCTAAACATCAATATTTCACCCTTGGCTATGAGTTTATTTTGATCACAGTCATTCTAAATTTGGTATTTGTACTTAAATTAAAATAAATATGTAATATCATGACACAATGATTTCATTACATTTTCCATGGATTATATCTGTTTTTAAGTGATGCATTTCATCCTTGGGACAATTTGTAAGTGGCCATTATGGACCAAGTCTAAAGATAAATCGTATCGAATGCCTTGTCAACGAAAGTCCTAACTCATTAAAGCCACATCATGTGTCCTGGAATGTTGACTGAATATATATTATAGATCAACTTATCATTAAGGCAGAGAACTTAAACCATAGTCTGTAAGTCAAATGTTTTATTTTCAGTTAGTTTACCTAAATGTGGTCCATCTTTCAAATTGAACCTAATTTTGGGTTCCGCTATCTGTTATTGACCTGTCAGGAACAATCTCTTGAAGCAACCATTAACCAATAGCAGACAATATTGGTAGTTCAGAGTTGAACTGAGGGGATCCAAAGGCACTAAGGACCCCCCTATTAACCCCAACAATTCAAGCAAGATTGAGAGATCCTTGGTGCTCTCTGAGCTTGCTTGTTTTTTTGCAGATGCTTCATTACCCTAACTAGATAATATCAGTGCTAGCACTGACTAGCAGTGATAATGTTACTTAGTTAGGATAATGAAATATCTGCAAGAAAACAAGCAAGCTCAGAGAGAACCAAGGATCCCTCATTTCAACCTTGAGCTACAAATATTCAAGCAAGAGTCTCTACTTTTCCACTGCTTTCACCATCTATGAACAAATAGGGGTCATTAAGGGGAAAGAGGATAATCTACCTAATCCCCATAGTGTGTGGTTTCAACCTACCAAGAAAAAAATGGCATCCCAATATGTTAAGGTGAGAAGAAGCTCAGGGCAGGCAGAAGACAAGCCACCACAAAGGGGTACATAACTTCGGGAGGAGAAGGAGTGTCTACTGGCAGGGTGATTAACAATCATCTGGTACAATTGGCAGTCAACTATCTCTAAGGCTGAGCTAAACTCAGAATGTTACGGTCACTGAAACTTTGTTTACCTGTGTTGTTCTGAAAAGCATCTCCATGCCATGAATAAGAAGGAAACTTTCTCTCCCAGAGCGGACATTGGTGACATGCTTGAGACAAAGCAAAAGACCCCTCCGGATTAGAATGTAGTTATTTGAAGTGTCTCGATGATGCCAATCTTGATACAACCGGAGCAGCTGACAAAAGTAGCCTCTGTGTACAGCTCGGCGACTGTTGGATTCTGTAAGTGAAGAGCAGATCAACTGAGCAGCTGCAGCAAATGTCTGCAGATGGATGCGGTTCAATTATTAGACATTGCAACGAGTGGGAAAATTTTGGTTCACTGAAAAAATGAAAGGAAAGTTAGCTGACTTGTCCACCCAGAAACAACCAGAAGCTTGAGAAATTTCAAATGTCAAGGAACCATTCAGGAGGTTGGGTTTCCCTTCTCAGCTAAACTTTTAAAACAGGAGAGAGTAACATGCCTCTTGCATCTTTTCCTTTCCTTTGGGAGGTCATGTTTTCTCTTCCACAGCTGGATGAATTTGGATGGCAAGCTAGGATCAATGAAATGATTTGAGCCATGGTCGTGTAGTGATTAGTGGGCAGTATGCAGGCTACTTTGGCTGCCTGCTGGCTGCCTGCAATTTGGCAGTTTGAATCTCACCAGGCTCAAGGTTGACTCAGCCTTCCATCCTTCCGAGGTCAGTAAAATGAGGACCTAGATTGTTGGTGGCAATAGGCTGACTCTGTACATACATACGTACGTATAGATTCTGTTGTATATGATGGGCCAAAATCAGAGTGTGAGAGCTTGTAGTACTAAATGTGCATAATGATATATGGGGAGGAAAGACAGCATAACCCAAAGAGACCCTCCCTAATTTCTTGAGAGTAAATGAGATGGAAGGAGAATTCTACTTTCAGGCTTGCTATATTCTGTTAATTTTCCAAGAGTCCAGATGTTCCTGATCAATGGCAGGCAGTGGCAGCTTGTGAGTGGAACTCCAAGGCAAAAAAAAAGTCTGTTTGCTTTGTAAATACTTTGAATGTTATTGTGAGCTGCCCAGAGTTGGGTTTTAAGATGGATGAGCATTCAAAAAAGGTTCACCAGAACATGTTTGTGCTGCAGGGCACAGTCCTTTTGACCAAAGCAAGGTGGATTTGGCTAAAATCCTATCTTCATAAAATCACCTGCTGAAATTCTGCAGTTCATAAATTCACCAGCTGCCTTCACTGACAACATACCAGAGATCTCAGCTAGGCCTGAAACAAAGACAGCTACATTATAGAAACATCCTGACCTTATAAGGATCCCTTTTCGTTGTTATTATTGTTTATCAACCCTTGGTTTGCTTCAAAGACAGCCGTCAATGCGTATGATATAATTTATCTGCCAAGATTAGTTCTTTGTAACCATCTCCCCAGGGCTACAGAAGCATGCTTTAAAAGAAAAAGGAAAGAAATAGGAATAATTTCTCTTCCCTTTCTTGTAAAATAATTCTAGAACCAAACTCTTTTTCACTTGGCTCATTCAAGAGCCTTTAAAAGACTGGCTACTTGCCTTCAGACTTCTATTATCTGTCTTATTCTGATTTTCAATCATGTTGTACAACTGCCATTGTTCGTTCCACTGCTGTAATTTGGGTATGGTTGCAAGCTGTTTTGGGAACATGCCATGGGGAAAGGCACACAGAAATGTTTTAAATAATTAAACTATTTCATAGTGAAATAAAAGGTGACCTATAAAGACAAAGTTTGTAAAACTTTCAACATTTCTCATATGGTATTAACAGAATAATCATATGAAGCAACTGAGCTAGGATTATGTTTGGCTCGATACAAGAGTGACAAAATCTGTGGCTCAAAGCTATTAATGGTCCTACCAAAGCTTTAGATTAACCAATAAAGCAGAGTATCTGTAACAGCGAGTTGAATTATGGAATTCTTGGTGCTCTCTTAACTTGGTTGCTTGCCAACAGACATTTCATTACACAACATTGTCCTAATTAATGAAACATCTATACAAGCAAACAATTTTACTATGTCTCCCGTCTCTTACTTTCTTTGCAAAATTACACAGTTTTGCTCTGATCAAAGCATTTACTTCCCAGTGGTGTGTCGGTGGGAATAGTCAGAAGACAAACTGCTTTATCATAAAACACAGGGCTAATCTGTAGAATTATCTCCTATGAACATTCAAGATGGCTACTGACTTTAAGGGAGTTTAGATGAAAGATGAAAAAGATTGCTAATAGATTTTCACAATGTCTCTACGTAGGCTACATTCACACATTTGTTCCTTATTCAATAAACCCTGGATAAATGAAACAATGGTTTGGCAATATATCCTATCTCAGAAGTGATCAGTCTGTTAATACCTATGCTGAGAAACCAAAGTATGCCATTGAGCCTATGCTCAGAATGTGAATTGTATTTGACTGGCCACCATGGAAACAGGATACTAGTTTGGATCCATCTTTTGATTAATGCAATAAGACTCTTCTTACATTCTTTGTGAAATGTCTATTTAGCTAAGATTTATATAAGAGGCAGCATCTGCAATAAAAGCAAAATATGAGATGGGTTAAAACAGGAGAAAGCATAGTTTTTGATCAAATATTATTAATTGTTATTTGGTTCAATGTTTTCAAAGTGACATTCCCTCTTTCATACAGTTGTCATTTTGATGTGATGAATTTCATTCTGTTGTTCTCTCCAGAAGAAAAACAAATACAGCAAAACAATGTCCACAGAAAATGTTATTGTTAAAGTTTTGAGCTGATCTCCTTATCAATCATAAATGAACTACTCAATATGCATGTACATTAGAATAGAAAAATTTGGCTGAGAAAGGATAAAATGAAACCTGAAGAACTGCACTGTTGAATAGAATGTACGAGCTGTTAATATTCTAATAATTCTAATAATCTAATGGGAATAATAGCACACCTTTATAATATAATGCTTTCTAAGGAAACTATTTGAATACTACAAATAATCAAAGATATACTGATAGATTAATACAGGATGATAACGAGGAAGGGCTGGCTTACACCAAATTGTCATTGCTGCCACCATTATCACCATCACCATCATCATCAATCATTGTGATCTGATTAATATTCACTTAGTCATGATTTAGAAACCCCAATGTCTGGGATCATAGAATATACTTAAATTGAAATGAGCGGAGCCCATTCTGGCTTAGTGGTATGTTGAAATTTTTTTTTAACCCTACAAACTTCAATCACCATAAACTTCTTTCAAGACTTTCTCCTGCGAATAATCATCAGTATTATATAATACAACTTCCGTATGATATGGGGTTTACTAATATTTTTGTAACTATTCCAATATTAATATATCATTCTGTAATCAACAGCCTACATTGGATCCAAACAAGAGATTTTTGGCAAAACAGCCTCTTTTGAAACCATTCAATATATTGTCATATCCAGCTTTTCTAAATTATATGTTTTGTCCCTCAAAAAGACAATACAATTGGATTCCCCAGTCCACTTTTTTTTCCTAATACCACCACCAACCAAAGGCTCTGAGAACAGCTTCCATATTTTAATTACTTTCCAAATTGCATCAATTTCTAATGATGGAGAATGCTTCCTGGTTGACAGTGATAAATATGGCAACATCAGATTAAAATAACCAGCTGATAAACAAATTACTCACTAAAAATAAATAGTGGATTACAATTTTTGGAAAACTGGGATAGTTATGGTAAGAGCACCCTCATGTGGAGCCAAAAGAATACAGGTTGTAAGGGGAAAAAAATAAGATTTGGGGTATGCGGGAGGAGAAAAACAAAGCATTAATATTTTAACTATCTCCTGAAAAATTTTATTTATATCAAAAATTTACAGTAATTTACAGAAGATTATATAACCCTCTGCAACTTCCATTACAAATTACAATATAAAATAAGCAAAATATAACTTTTTGAAAGTGCACAAACTCCATGAGGCTATGTTTCATGCCATGGTTACAGGAGGGGAAATATCCGAGTGATGTCCTAGCCAAACCAGACAAATATGTTTTTCTTATTGAATTTGATAAGTAGGGAGATAGTATGGAAAATAAAAGAGAGATATTAGCTAGGTGACTGTGACTTGGCTGGACTGGGCCACTTTACACCCGAAATGAAGATTCTCGTTTAAATGCTTGATTTTTCTTTCAAAAATTTCCAAATGCATGAATAGGTCCTACCTAGCCATTTCCTTAAAACGCTCGTATCAGAGGCACAAAGTGATGATAGGAGAAAATATAGGAAAATATATGTATAGGTGACCATTCACTTGCTGCTATACTGCTCTATTAGAGATCCACAACACTGACAATATGATGGCTCAGGTTTAGGATATAAACTAAGGTAGCTTTCTGAAGCATCTTTGCACAATATAGCACAACAGAGTTGGAAGGGACCCTGGAGATCTTCTAGTCCAACCCCCTGCCCAGGCTGGAAACTTTATACCATTTCAGACAAATGGTTGTTCCAATGTTCGAGCATCCACAACTTTCACATGCAAGTCGTTGCACTGATTAAATTGTTCTGTCAGGAAAGTTCTCTTTCAATCTAGGCTGCTTCTCGCCTTGATAAGTTTCCACCTATTGCTTCTTCTCCTGCTTTCAGGTACTTTGGAGAATAGCTTGAGCCCCTGTTCTTCGTGGCAAGCCCCTGAGATATTGGAACAATGCTATCATGTCACCCTTAGTCCTTCTTTTCATTAAACTAGACATATCCAATTCCTACAACCATTCATCATATGTTTTAGTCTCATGAAATGAGGCTAAATGAAAACCATGGAAAGTGCCACACATACTGGCCTTGGGATTCTGGTCTCCAGAGCTGTAACTTGCAATATTGCAAATCAAGTCAAGTCAAATATTTATTATGGTCATAGACCAGAATGGGCAATATTGCGATTAATGTCAGAGACAAACTACTTGATATGAATATATGAGAAACAATGATAGTTCAGATCACAGGTATCTCTAATTCAGTATTTTGTTACTTCATGTAATCCCTTAATTTGGGGTAGAGACAGGGAGACTGGATGGAGCTAAGCATTTACTGGCCAGATGCCCTTCCTGACACCACATAAAGTTCACAGTAGATATTTTTCTTTGCGCACCAGGAGAAAAAAATCTGCTGCTACCTAGGAATAATCTCTCAGCTTTCCGAGTGGGAGACAAACATCTTCACCGCTATGCTACCATACCATTCTTTCTCCACCAACTTATATTTTAAAAATAAAGATTTTAGGCTAAACTTGTTCGTGAGGATTTGGGGAAACGTCCAAAATTGTACCTGATTTGTTTTTTTTATATATATAATAGCAATAGCATTTATGTACTGCTCCATAATACTTTACAACACTTGCTGGGCGTTTTACAAATGTCAGCATATTGCCCTCAACAATCTGGGTCCTCATAATAACCATGAAAGGAGTACAACATGCCTTAAAAAGAATTAGATCTTTGGGAATTTGAACCAGACAGTGACTTGGTTTACCTACTGCTATGCTTTATTGATCAAACTGCAGTTTAACTATTATGCTATGCTCTGTGAATTCTGAATTTCTTCACCGAGTTCACAATGTACTGATACCCCAACAAAGATAGCCTGGCACATACTACTTGTTCTTTGCCTGCTTGAGGTTTTCGGAGAGATTTTTTTTTTTTCAAGATTCAGAATTCAAACACTAACATGCTTCATCCCTGGAGGTTTTCAAGAGACTGGCAACCATTTGAGCAGGATAGTATAAGGTTTCCTGCTCTTCTTAAGCAGAGGGTAGGACTAGAAGACCGCTGGGGTCCTTATGGTTCTATGTATTCTATATATGCATTGATTAGTTTTCTTGATCAAGAATTGAAATCAGAAACTTCCCTGATAACAACCAATTGAAGTACACTGCTCAAAAAAATAAAGGGAACACAAAAATAAGACATCCTAGATCTGAATGAATGAAATATTCTTATTAAATACTTTGTTCATTACATAGTTGAATGTGCTGACAACAAAATCACACAAAAATTATCAATGGAAATCAAATTTAGTAACCCGTGGAGGTCTGGATTTGGAGTTACACTGAAAATTAAAGTGGAAAAAACCACTACAGGCTGATCCAACTTTGATGTAATGTCCTAAAAAAAAAGTCAAAATGAGGCTCAGTAGTGTGTGTGGCCTCCACGTGCCTGTATGACCTCCCAACAATGCCTGGGCATGCTCCTGATGAGGTGGTGGATGGTCTCCTGAGGGATCTCCTCCCACACCTGGACTAAAGCATCCCCCAACTCCTGGACAGTCTGTGGTGCAACGTGGTGTTGGTGGATGGAGCAAGACTTAATGTCCCAGATGTGCTCAATTGGATTCAGGTCTGGGGAACAGGCGGGCCAGTCCATAGCATCAATGCCTTCGTCTTGCAGGAACTGCTGACACACTCCAGCCACATGAGGTCCAGCATTGTCATGCATTAGGAGGAACAAAACCCTGGGCCAACTGCACCAGCATATGGTCTCACAAGGGGTCTGAGGATCTCATCTCAGTACCTAACGGCAGTCAAGCTACCTCTGGCGAGCACATGGAGGGCTGTACGGCCCCCTAAAGAAATGCCACCCCACACCATTACTGACCCACTGCCAAATTGGTCATGCTGGAGGATGTTGCAGGCAGCAGAACATTCTCCACGGCGTCTCCAGACCCTGTCACATCTGTCACATGTGCTCAGTGTGAACCTGCTTTCATCTGTGAAGAGCACAGGGCGCCAGTGGTGAATTTGCCAATCTTGGTGTTCTCTGGCAAATGCCAAACGCCCTGCACGGTGTTGGGCTGCAAGCACAACCCCCACCTGTGGACGTCGGGCCCTCATACCACCCTCATGGAATCTGTTTCTGACCATTTGAGCAGCCACATGAACATTTGTGGCCCACTGGAAGTCATTTTGCAGGGCTCTGGTAGTGCGCCTCCTGTCCCTCCTTGCACAAAGGTGGAGGTAGCGGTCCTGATGCTGGGTTGTTGCCCTCCTACGGCCTCCTCCATGTCTCCTGATGTACTGGCCTGTCTCCTGGTAGTACCTCCATGCTCTGGACACTACAGACACAGCATACCTTCTTGCCAGCTTGCATTGATGTGCCATCCTGGATGAGCTGCACTACCTGAGCCACTTGTGTGGGTTTTAGACTCCATCTCATGCTACCACTAGAGTGAAAGCATCGCCAGCATTCAAAAATGACCAAACCATCAGCCAAAAAGCATAGGAACTGTGGTCACTACCTGCCACTCCTTCATTGGGGATGTCTATGCTTTCCACCTGTTGTCTATTCCATTTGCACAACAGCATGTGAAATTGATTGTCAGTCAGTGTTGCTACCTAAGTGGACAGTTTGATTTCACAGAAGTGTGATTGACTTGGAGTTACATTGTGTTGTTTAAGTGTTCCCTTTATTTTTTTGAGCAGTGTATATACCTAACCCATGCCCACAAACAAAGGAACAAAAGCAGAATGTTGTAATTTTCTAATAATTTCACTAATGTATGCCTGATTACACTTTGTGCTACCTCCACACAATAATTTCAGTTCCCATTATGTGCCAAGCAGAGGTATAACTAGCATTAAATCAGCAGGGTCTCCATGGAGATTCCCTTATGGTAGCATTGAACACTCTTCCTAATTTAAAAAAAATAAATTTTTCAATACAGGGAAAATAACTACAAAACTTCACTGATGGAAATGAAGGAATATGTATTTTTTGTTGTTCACAAGTTGTTCACTGATTAATTGTTCTCATTGTTCTCACTGTCAGGAAAATTCTGCTCAATTCTAGGCTGCTTCTCTCCTTGATTCCTTTACTCATCAAAGTGCATGAAAGGATTTGGGGCAGTGAAAAAGAAGGGGCACTCATGAGTAAGAGTGGAAAAGGAAAATATAGGCTTGTGATTTACCATCAGGAAGATTGATGAAGGAAAAGCATTCTTCAATTGGAGACAAAGCTTTATTAAATTCTGATAATAAATGCCCAAGTTGTTTTGGGATGTGAGGAAGAGACACAGGGTGATATAACACTGGCTTCGGGAACATTCATTCTTTGTGCAGGATTGTGCAAGGGCCTGTTTTTTCATTTAGTAGATACTTTAAACCCTGCATAAATAAGGTTGCAGTTGAGTGTCACCATAACTTAGCAATGTTCAGTGATTCTCCAAAGCTTTCCTTCTCTGCCACCAGGAACATTACTTCATCCACACACACACACACAAAAATACAGATATACACAAGCTGGTAAGCTAATATCCTGGTTTCCAGAATGTCATTTCATCTCTTCTTGAAGTCACAAAGATCCCATTGGGATAGTGATGGCAGCAGTGTCGTAAAAGTCCATGACTCCCTCTTTTTAATGGGTCTGGTACATCAAATACTGGAGTACATCAACACCGTTGCTGATATATATCAACCCTGAGAGCTTATGTGTTGGAAACATTCATTGTGTGTCCAATCACACTTGGCCAATAAAGAATTCTCTATTCTACTCTGCTCTTCTCTGCTCCACTCCCAACTCCATTCCATTCTATTTTATTATTTAGGGCTAGAGGCTGAACCATCCTTAGCAAATTCATATTAAATATTGGAATGGTTTTTGGAGAAGAACCATTCCAATATTTCTAGCCTTGCACCTCAAATTATTTGTGGACAAATAATATTCCCAATGTCAAGGATTACTGGGGAAAAGGTTCTCCAGGAATTAAGTTAGAAGCCTTATTGAAAGATGCTAAAGAAAAACATTTCACAGAATTTACAATTCAAGTATGATTCAAACTAGAAATCTGTTCAAAATAGACAATATATTGCTGTTGCTTACACAACTCTCTGCTGTAGATTAATTATTCTAACAGCATCCTTCTTACTTATCATCATCCCTACTTACGAAAATGCCCCCGAGCCCTCATATGTCCTATAGGCATTCTTGCAAAATAAAACAAGGGTGATAAATCTTAGTCCTTGAGTTGGAATAAGAAAACAAGACATTTGTAAGTAGAGAAACTCTTGGCAGAAAGGAAAGAGCTAAACCAAGAATTAACCTTAATTTGACTTCTGTCACAAATGACTAATCACAACCACCATTTTGCGACAGCACCCACATTGGGCTGTCTAAATCCTAAGCATTTCTCCTGCCCTAAATTGTTCTCTGAATTCAGCAGAAAACAATACGGTAGACGTGAGAAACAACTACACTATAAATTCTGTCCTTTTAGAGGCGGCATTGGCAACTTTCTTCTTTTTTATATCTCATGTACTGTACCCTAAAGAAAGGTAAATATAGTGTGACATGTTCAAAGTATCCCATGCCTTCTGCACTGCATTTTTGCAGTTTCGGTGTCCTGTTGCAGTTTCAGAGGAGTGATCCTAATTAGAATGAAGGAGGGAAGAGATGGAGAAACTTTATAGAAATGAGAGCATTTCTATGTAGACAGACAGCACAGGAAACAGTGTGTAGGGAGAAAAATATATGAGAAAGGTAGAAACACTTACTTGATTTCAGCAAAGCTGCCAAAGCTTCAACTGCTGCCCTAAATAGAGAAGAGGGGAAGGGAAAAAGAGAGAAATATCATTTCTTCCATAATTTCAGTAACCTTTGGCTTTCTAATGTCTCCTGTGGTTCCCCTCCTAGCAATTGCAAACTGATAGAAGAGTTCCAAAGAAAAGGTTTTATTCTTGCATTCTTGTGGACTTGGAAGGCTACATCTTTAATGCTTGGTTCCATGAGACAATTAGACCCAGAGCCTTTACATTAGCTGATCTGCGCTGAGCAGTTGGTACAAATGTCCAAGTAATTGGGGCAATATTTTATTATTAAGAGTGTCTTATATCTTATCTCTCTCTAATACTTGCCATCTTTTACTGCTGGTTTGGCATTAGTTGTCAGATCAAATCTAGGCTTAGCTATTAACAGAATAACAGAGTTGGAAGGGACCTTGGAGGTCCTTCTAGTCCAGCCCACTGCTCAAGCAGGAAACCTATTTCAGATAAGTGACTGTCCAGTCTCTTCTTAAAAGCCTTCAGTAATGGAGCACCTTGTTCTTGCCATTAGGAAGTTTGTCCTTAGTTCTAGGTTGCTTCTCTCCTTGATTAGTTTCCATCCATTGTTTCTTGTCTTACCCTCAGGTGCTTTGGAAAATAGGCTGAACCCCTTTCCTTTGTGATAGCCCCTCAAATACAGCAACCCTGCTATCATAACTAATTCAAATTAACTAGTGTTCTGATGTTTCAGCCAGTTGCTCCATTCATCAATAACATTAAATTGTTTTTGAAATGGCCATTTTTTTAAAAGGTATCCGAGTAGTGAAAATGGGATCTCAGCAGTTCAACACCATTCATCTCTCATTCATCCCTTTTCCCTTCCCCATTCTTCATAAAGAAAGGCTGCAAAGTGCTATAAGACAGTGATCCCCAACCTTTTTTATGCCGCGGCTCAGTACCGGCATCAGCTGGGCGCCGCCATTTTTTTTTGATGAAAAAGTGCTTCCGGTGAGCTTTCTACCCGGAAAAGCTCACCGGAAGCACTTTTTCATCAAAAAAAGATGGCGGCGCCCAGCAAACCAGCGGCCCGGTAGGACTTGTTCCACGGACCGGTACCAGTCCACGGACCGGTGGTTGGGGACCCCTGCTATAAGAGCTGTATTTGTTGTGATGGTTATCTGTCAAGTGAACCCCGACTTCTAGTAATCAGATCTATGCAGTTTTCTTGGCAAAATTTAAGAAATGGATTACCATTACCTTGTTCCTAGAACTGAGAGTGTATGAGTGGCCCAAAGTTACCCAGCTGGCTTTTGTTCGTAATTTAAGATTAGACTTCCGGTTTGCAGGTTTCGGTAGCGGCAGGGATTTGCGATACTGCGCGATCCCTGCTGCGTTCGCCGTCAAGGTTCCCCCGATCCGTTTGGATCTGGGAGATATAGCTGCCCCGGAGAGGCAGCTGAAGATAGGGGGGATCCGGACAGGGGTTTGGGGGTGTCACAGACCCCCTCCCCAGCCGGCAAAACCCCCTTTTCCCAAGATGGACGAGCGGCGGTCAGTAATGGCCGCCACGAAGAAATCTACAGCCGGACAAGCAGGTGCAGGAGGGAGAAAGCTGGAAGAGTAATGAAAGTTGCTTTCAACTGGGACAAGGCAAGAGAAAGTGCCCTGAATCTTGAAGGCTGCTAAGGATACATTGTTCCTAGTAAGAGTTACAAGCTGCGAACATTTTAAAAGGGAAAGTTTTTTTTTTCTTTCGTTTCACTCTCCTTCCTAACGTGACAGCAGATGGGAAAAATCTTTTTGGCTGTGAGTGGCAAGGGAGAGGGGGAAAAAAATTGAAGCAATTGAAAATAAGGAGAAGATTGCCTAGATTTTTAAAGAGTTACTAAACACCAATAAGACTTCTAAAAGAGATATTTTAAAGGAAATTCTGTGACTAAACTTTAACCCCAGAAAGAGAAAGTGAAGAAGGAGAAAGTATTTAAAAGAAACAGCCTGTTTGAATTGTTTGGTGATTTTGGAACTTCTGAGAATTATTTCTGATTAAAAGCACTTGGGTGGTTGTTTGGGAAAACTTTTTCTCTGCACAATGGCATCACTTCTGGATGGACTGAAACTTGTATACCAAAAATATGAAAAAGAAAAGCAAGAAGGGAAAGATGTCCTTGGCACTCTTTTTCAATTTTTAGAAATGGCGGTTTGTACTTATGTAAAGCTGAATGAGCAACAGGATGATGGGGACAAAGAAGAAGCCATCTTTGATGAACAAATAACTTTGGTCGGAAAAGGGAAAAAGAAAGAGAAAAAGGAAAAGAAGACTTTAAGATCTGGAAAAGCAACCCAAGAAGAGAAGAATAAGGTGAAAAGGGGACATTATGTTAGGAAACAACAGAAAGGGGGAAAGCAGAATAAAAGGGAGGTGGAGAGACAAGGGGGTAAAGAGGACAAGGAGAAGAAGAAGCAAGGGAGAAAGGAAGGGATGAGAAGCCTTAATGGTGGGGAGCAAGTTGTAAAGAAGCAAAAGTTTTTTAGAGATAATGGATAAATTTTATTGAAAAAGGGATTCTAGAAAGGTACATAAGATTGCATTTCTATATTTGTATTTGGAAATAACCATAGAAAATTAGAAATAATATGTAATTTAAAATGCGATAAAATATTTAGTATAATCTAGTGAAATTTTTGTTAAGAGAAGGGGAGTACTGTAATGGAACAATGATTTAAGATATGTGATGTGGGGGGGGGGGAATAATTTTGGAAAGCATAAGTGTTCCCACAAAGGCATGATATTTAACTGAAATGGGTAAAATGTTTAAGATATAAATAATTGTTAATATTAATGATTAGACTATGTTATTCTAGTGAAACTTTTTGTGAAATGAGAGATTTGAAGTAGGAGAAAGGGGAACATTGTAATGAAATAATGATTTATAATATGTGACGTGGGGGGGAAATAACTATGGAAAATAGGTGCTCCCATAAAAGTATGTGATTTAACTGAAAAATAATGTGTTAAATGTTTAAGACATAAATGAATATCAATATTAATGAATATATTTGTATTGGTTTTGATAATACTGTATAATTTTAGAACGTACCAGACAGAATCCCAATGTAAGTTATGTGTTTTATATTAAGTATTATAAATATAGGGGAAAGAGATAAAGGCATCATACTCCATTTAGTGTACAGGAGAAGTTTTTTTCAAAGAAGAAAGATAAATGGATAGCTGGAAATAGAACAGACAAAGAATAATAAATATTATGATTCGAATTGAGAGGAGATAAATAAAATAAAATTGAGAAAATTTAAAAGAGAGGAGAAGTTATATAGAAAATTGAAAATGTTAACAAGATATGGAATGGTATATAAAATGAATATGAATTTGAATTTTTGTCTGTATCAAGAGTTTTAACCCGGGACTAAGCAACTTTCAGAAAAGAGATTTTTTTATGCTTTTATGTTTGTGTTTCTGTGTATTTATGTTTTGTATGTCTTTAAAAATTAATAAAATTTGTTCAAAAAAAAAAAAAAAGATTAGAATTTGGGGTTTCAGTGCCTTTAACCACTCCAGCAAACATGCTTCATTTGGGCTCAAAAGATAGGCAAGATTGTGCCTAACAAGAATGTGGATGGTAACTACAAAAAAAATTCAACATCTCACGAAACTGCATCTCACTTGCTTTGGCCATGTCATGCAGGGAAGTTCATTGGAGGAAGCAATTATGCTAGGAAGAGTTAGTGGTAAAAGAAACCTGGCCATCAAAGAACACACAGTTACTGGATACCATCAACCCTGACACCAGGCAGAGCATGGAATGGCTCAAAAAAGTAGTGCAAGATTGGAAAATGTGGGGCCCACAGAATCACCAAGAATCGAACATGACTGACTGGATAACATCATCATCACATTAGACTGGTTAATGGAAACAAATTAATGGGGGATGTTGGGTACTTTGTGTTAGCTGAGCTTGGTTTTCTCCTTGCAAGTGTTTTCTTACCAAAATAGATAATAACATCAGAGCTGGCTTTGCTGGTAGTTTATGTGGGGCAGTTTTTCCCACATGTCATCATTTGTGGACCTGTTTCTGATTTGGCTTGATTGGCTATATTGTTTCATCTTAAGAGTGTTCTTGATTGCGTACCTAGCAATCAACATATGAATAAGGGAGAACCAACGTAAGAGGCAAACAAATGTTTGCAAGATACCAAAATCACAACGATGGATAAGATGGATAAGATATTTTTGGATATCCCAGAAATAGCTGGTAACAAGCTAAGAGAACTATGTCCCCATGTCCATGAAGTCACTTGGAATCAATCTCAGCATGAAACTGATATACCTTTAAAATCTCTTTATAAACAAAATCTGTACTGATTCACGTTAACTTTGGCACCAGCCCAAGTATTGAGCTGCAGCCAAAAATAAATATTTCATTTCCATTCAATTATTTCTCATTGCAAGTCCACTCTACAGCCAAGAAGAACTGAGATTCTAGCATTTCCTACCAACATCTACTGTTCCAAGGCTACTGCTCCTTCCATGTTTTATACACACAAATATTTTGGAGCCCTAGAAGCAAATGAATAACATATAAGAGCCAGTTGGGCTGATGCTTTAGTTTTAGCAATTTGCTGGAACTTTGCTGGTTGAAAAACAGGGGTGTGATCACTGTCATTGGAGGAAGAGATAACAACCATATTGTTATTGAGAGTTGGCCAATGCAATATTATTGGGCATTGGGATGCCACCTACTGGCACATCTATTACCACAATCAACATGTGGTAAAGACTGACATCCTTGTGCCCAATGGAGATTATAAATGAGGAACAAGATATAGGCAGCTTTAGCAAAGAAGGGAGAAGAACATTAGTGCTTCACCATCACTCAGTCCAAAAGCCACTTCACATTCACTGGAAGAAAACAAAAGCATTAGATGTGGTGATGTTATTGCTGTTTACCGTGTTTCATTGGTTCTGGATGCTTGACCAAATAAAACCTACATTGTAAGAAAAGTAGCAACATTGCTGTCCAAAATCCAACCACTG